CTCTAGGTCATGTCTAATCCTATACTGATTATACCGACTGTAGATTTCAAATCTTCTTCTTCATCTTCCACTTTGCTTTGTTATACATCACATTCCTCTGCATGTCTAACACACATGTGACAAATAAAGCAGTCCTGTATGTGTGGATTCAAACAGCTTCTCCTATTGCTCAGAGCTGCATGCTGTCACTTCCTCACAATGCCCCCTGGCAATTCATATAAACCACTAATGCACATTACCTGCATACCAACCATATTCATCATACATTTTTTATGATGTTCGCTATATTCACATATTCATTAGTGTTGTTTGTATGTAATAAATTAAGGGAAAGCACTCAGCCACAGTTTAATTATGACATGCCACTGCTGGGGTGGGATGAAATTAAGCCATTACTCACCAGCCTGGAATCTATTCACAGGATAATCCTGAAAGAAAACTGTTTTAATGAGGATTAAACATCTAAAAATGACCAAGTTATTTCACTCCTCTGTGACATTCAAAGACAGGTTCTGCTACAAACAGCACAGCGGCTGAGCACAAGATATTAATAAAAGAGCAGGTTCCATGCAAGAACATTTGAGGATTTTTTTCCTAAAGCTCTCTTACTTTTTGACTTGTTTGTACAAGTGTTCTAAGTTGGTTTAAGCCAACAATGGTGTAGATTGTTTGTTTCAAACTGATGAATGCCATCTGTTCATGTGGAGTTGTGTATTTTTGAGATTAACTTTAAAATGCCAACCAAGAGCATAGAGTCTCAGCAGTAATTTTAAGAGATCACAAAAGTCCAAAATAAAAAAACCTTTCTACAGCTGTGTATGTAGATACATTTTGTTAGAGATGATTTTACATCGTCAGTGTTTGAATGCAGCATGTTCACCTGGACAGCGATCCAGGTCTGTGTAAAGACCCTGGGGTAGCCACAGCTGAAAGAATTGTCATCTGGCCCCGAATGACCTGATTATACATACAGTTTCATTATTGGCCTGTCTTCGGAACCAACCAATATTTGACACCTGAAACGATTACTTGATTATTTACAGACAGAAAATCAAGTGGCATCAATGTTGATTGTCAATTAATCATAAAAGCAAATAAAAAACATTCACTGGTAGCAGCTTTTAAAAATGTGAAGACTTTCCACTTTATATGGTTGTAAACACAACATAAATTTATTCATCAAAAAAAACAATTTGAGTGTGTTGTAACTTAACCTTCAGGGATTAACGATGGACATTTTCTGACATTTTCTGGACCAAACAGGCAACCAATTATTCATGCAACTGTCAAATGCACTGAAAATACAAGAATTGTTGGTTGAAGCCTTATAGTCTCAACCCAGTGCCACAACTTTATGATTGGAGGACTATGTGCTATTGCCTCCCCCTATTCCTGTAGCGCAAATGGAGCCAAAAATTTAATTTTAAAAATCTAGTGAGCCACAGTTCTGTAGACAGAAACACTTCAGGTTTTAGGATAGAGGCCAGAGGAGAAGGAAGAGGCTACTTCAAGCTTACAGAAAGGCTACAATAACTCAGGTCACCGAACATATGAGGACTTTGCTTTGGTGTGTTTAGTGCTAAAGTTTAGTAGTAAAGTATGTAAAAACTGGAGGAGAATTAATGCACAAGATGTCAAAACTTGAGGTAGATAGTCTACAACAGCAGAGACCATGTCAGCTAAGATCAGAAATGTGAGGCTGCACTGAGACTCACAAACAATGGACAGTAGAGGATTGAACCTGGTCTGAAGCACCTCGATTTCTGCTGAGGCTGCAGATGATAGAGTCACAATTCGGCATCAGCAACATGAATCCATGGATCCAACCTGCCTTGTGTCAACAGTCCAGACTGCTGGTGGTGGTGTGATGGTGTGAAGACTGTGTTCCTGACACCCTTTGGGCCCTTAACACCAATAAAAAGATGTTTATCACAGTCTATATGAGGATTGTTGCTTACCATGTTAATGCCATTGTCTTGTAATGGCTTCTTCCAGCAGGATAATGCTCCATGTCACAATGTAAAAGCCTTAAACTGGTTCATGAACACAACAGTTAACACAATAACTTCATTGCCCTCTGAGATGTGGTAGAACAGGAGATCAGCATCTTGAACGAGCAGCTGACAAATCTGCAGAAATGATGAGATGCACTCATGTCAACATAGAAACGAATCTCAGAGGAAGGTTTCCAACATCATTTGGAATCAATGACTTGAAGAACTGAGGCGGTGGCCACAGATGAGCAAAGTGATTATTCACATCTTTTAACAAAACTGCATTGGATGATGGGGTTGCTGCACAGCAGGTGGGATATGGCAATTGCGCGTGGGAGCTCCCTGCACTGGATTGGGGAAAACAAATCAAACATACTCCCGGTAATTGAGTACAAACAGGTTAAAGCTGTTTGATGTGAA